CAATGACTATTAATATTAAAAATTTACCTTTGAACTTTCGCAAAAAGGCCTTAGAGAAAATCACTTATTGCTTGTAACATATTTGCTTTCTCAAGCAGTTGGAGGAAATTAAAGCAGGCTTATTTCCTGGCCGACTGATATTATCCTCTCGCCGGCTCGCTATTTCCCCTTTTTGCGTCGGCACTGATAAAACAAGAGCAAAGTGGTGAGTAAACATCCCTTGTTATCTCAGCGAAATTAGAATGTCTCGAGTCTTTTTAATCTTCTCTCAGAATAAACACTCGGGCCGATCTCTCTCTCGCGCAATAATAGACCAGCTATACTTTTCTAGCCACGTTTGTTTGGAAAAATATTTTTCATTTGCAGTGAGGGACGAGAAGTGTTTTTGCTATCGACCCACTTGCCCGCCTCGACTTGATTCTCGTCCGCATTGTTTGTCCTCCATCGGGCAAATTGCTATTGTCTGGCGGCATTTGCCGATGAAGAGCCACATATTGATTGGAGTGTCTCCCTAGCCCGAAAAAGGTCGCGAATTAAAAGGTCGGCGCCACCGAGCGCGTGTCCTTAGGGGAAATTTGAAAGCTAATTTTAACCGTTCACAATGTTGTGTGTCCTTTTGTTGCCGGAGACACGCAATATTGAAATAAAAATGTCGCTTATTGCCCCCCCCCTATTAGGCCGAGAAATGAAATCACGGTGAAAATTTATGGTGGAACAAAACGTGGTAAAAAATCCATCGGCGCGTGATTTACTTTCTACCATTTAAAACAAAATCTAGCATATAAATTTATTTGCTCTAGTTGTTATAGAAGCTTTTGTCAAGAATGTCATAAAAATCTGCAAAAAACAACGTCACATGAAGGTTATCACGATTAATAGTTTTGCTGACTTTTCCTGTTAAATTGCTTTAGTCATTAAATTCAGGCCACAGACAATTAATGCTGACTTAGCAATTTTTTACTGTCAACGCCGTTTTTTTTAATAACGATGAATCAAACCAATTTAAAAATACTAATAAACATGACAGTAGTGGTTTCAGGGGCTCACTCAGCAAAAGATACTAATAACAAAATGAAAAATATGTATTTTCCTGAAAAAGAAAATTGAAAAAAAGGCAATGACCTAATCCCCACCCCTCATGACAATTTTGATGTAATTGAAAGTTTAAAGTTTAAAATTAAAAACAAATATTTGTTGCCTTATGTGACTTTGGATCTTTTAGACTAGTTTTCAGAACTTAACAATCAGCAACAATTTTAAGTAATTTACCCCTCAGTTTCTGATTAATTTTGTTGAATATATTGAAACTGCTATAAAATTTTTAACAATTCAGAAGCAATGCCTACAAAAATAACAATCTTTTATATTTATTAATCTTAGATTTTTCTGAATTTTAATTTAAATAGTTTTTTGCTTCATTTTGTGAATTTTTAATTTAATTTTAAATTGTAGCACTTGTTTACATAAAATTTGTTTTATTCCATGTGTGAAAAATTCCCTAAAATTATAAGATTTAATCAACATTTTTCATTCTCCATTTATATTTTGAAACGAAGCACAAAATATCTTTTCAATTATTAATATTTCACCCTGCGACAAATGAGTTGCGCAGGTTTGGTCGGCCTTCTGCCCTACTGCCCCTGGCAAATTCGTTTATTTGATAACTAAACAAGTGGAGACGGGCTCGATTGATCACCTCTCTGCAAAACCCTGTACAAATCAATACGTGACACGCACCGCAGAAAAAAAATGATAAAAATGTCAAAAAAAAATCAGTCGGGGTTGTTAAAAGCAGCCGGCGGCAACCAGCGTTTTTCGCTAAAAGCCGGACCACTTTTGGTCGGTCGGAGCGCTTCCGGCGTTATATAAAAATGGCCATCATTGTATCGCGAAATGCATAATTAATGGCGTTGACCGCACACAATATTGGGCCGGTGCACGCAGCTGCCGTCGCCATCCATCAAATTGTCGGCGCGCTCTTTATGGAAGAGCCGTAAAACAATTATTGCGTTTTCACGGTCCGTCGTAAAAATAAACGCTTTGAAAAATTAACCTCGGTGGCTAATTTGGCCCGGGTAGGTTGGTCGACTGACTTGGCCGTTTGGCCGCCAAGACGACGCACTTTTGGACGAGAAACTTAACAACACAGAAAGTAGTGCTAAGGCGCTTACAACGTGCTTAACTTGGCAACTCGATAATTGCCGATAGAGAAGCCGTTTTCCGCCAGCAAAGGCTTTTAGTTGGAAAAAGGATGAGGAAAAGGTGTGCAACTGTGGCACGTGGGCCGCAGCCACAGAAACAAAATTGGTATAAAGACGCGTTTGCCGCGGGGAAGATTACTTTGATGCCGTTATTTTCCTCTATTAAATTGAATGTCTTTGTGGCAAATTGAAAAACGGTTTTGGATTGCGTTTCGGTTTTACCATTCAATTTGAAGCAAATATTCAATAAACGAAATATTGATAAAGGATAAAAAAATGTTTTCTTTTTGATATTTTATTATTTTGTATTTGCAGTGTATTTTTTCACAAAATTTGATTATATTGTAACTTTTCCAAACTTAAACAAAGGTTTGAGTCCGCTTGTGCCAAGTTTCTACTAAAATTTTATAGTTTCTTATGAAAAATCAGTAATTTATTTCTTATGATTATAATCAAATCTAATGTCGCAGAAACTGTTTTTTTAACATGAAAATTAAAATTGAGATATCTCTTGAATATTCTCAATGAAAATTTAGGTTATTTTATTTTTAACGCCATCTTTTTACCATCAATAATATCAATATTAATGTTGTTTTGGGATAGTTTAAAAACTCTCATTGTAAAAATTTTGAATAAATTTATTAAATTTAAAATGTTTACAATGGTAAATCACACTAAGAAATTTAGGAGAACCTTCTATAGCTATTTTTATCGGTTCCAGATGATAATCTTTGTTTAATTAGAGGTTAATTTATCAATTCGTGTCCACTGAAATAAGTAGTGAACAAAAAATATATGCTTACCGATTTCTTTTTAAGTTTAAAAGGTTACATTTTAGTTAGAAGCACTGGGGTGGCGGAATCGGAGCGTAAAATATTCATGAAAGGGACGAAAATAAAAATTTCAGTAAAACGCATTGCAAAACGGAATTGCTTGTTCAAGCGTGACATTATAGGCGTGTAAAAAACAAAACAAAAAGCTCCCTGCGGCCACGTGGCGATGGATGGATGAATTCCCAAAATGCAGCAGCCGCAGGCACTTCTTTTTGTAGCTCTGCTGCCAACAAAAAAAGCGCCGTAAAGCTCAGGCTCGAGACTCTTTGGCGAGACCGAGGAATTTTATTTAACTCTTGTTGTAATTTAATATATGGAAATCCAACAAGTTTTCGTCAAGTTGATGCGAAAAAAGTTGCACTGGGAGGAATTAAATTTTGGAAAGCACGAGTTTTTTCTCTTCCTCTCTTTGCAGTCGGAGCAGGAGAAAAAAAGAAAATTAATCCGGGCTAAGAAAGAAAGAAAGGGAAAAAAATGCCGTAAAAAAGTAATAACTCGGCGGCATACAAAGACAATATCATCAGCAGAGGCTGGAGAGAAAAGTTGCTCGTCTATAATACGCGCGTTGGAGCCAAAATGATGGAATATGTGAGCGCGTGTATAGTTTTGCGTCCTTTCAACTTTCTCCATTCAAAAGTTTCAACCGCGCTCTGCAATGCTAAAAAGCGGCTCATTTGGAGTTTCGGGGGCTTTTCCCTTTTAAGTCGAGTTCATAATTAATTATGTTCTTTTTCGCTTGCCTCTCTGATAAAGGGTTTAATTAGGAGAAGACTTCCTCCTTGTTAATTTTCTTATATTTTGATTTCCATCATCAGAATATTTCTTATAAGAGAAATCAATTGTTTCTAAGTTTCTTTTTTAGCCAAAATTTTTTCATATAAATTGTAGGGATCAAAATATTGTATAATCATTCAAAAATTTAATTAATACCTCAATCAAATTAACAAAATATTTGTAAATTGAGAATATATTTTACTTTATATAATTTAAAATTTATTATAATGACCTCAAAACAAGTACTGACCATTATAACAAATATTCATCAATTAGAGACAATTTTTTTCCTCAATTTATTTTAAAGGAAAAAAGCAAACATACTTTCATATTGCTTAAAAGTGTGTTTGCTAAAATGAAATTACTTTTAGTGCTAAAAGTTTCTCACACAAAACACTTCACTGCTTGCAACAAAATTTATTCCAGCATCCAAACCAGGAAAACTAAATTGGCTATTTCGGGTTCACGAACTTCACAATCTGTTGCTCTGCCACGAGGAAAAATATCAAATTACATTTCCAGAACCCAATTTTGCGGTCAGGAAAATCCGAGTCATCATCTTACTCACCCCTCGCAAAAATTTCAAATCCCATACGGTATCTCTTTCCGACTGCACCAGATAGAAACTCATCAGCTGCGGTGGATGATTCAGTTAACCAAAAACTTTTCGTGATGAGTCAGACCGACCAAAAACGGCAGCGAATTAACTCTGGGCCGGAACTGGCTCGTAAAACGAACTCGTCGGCGAGAATGTTTCCCTAACAATTAAAAGCAGGGCTGAGATTAATTTAGACTTCCCCTTTTGAGAGAGGGTAATGATAATATTACTCTCCATAAAGGAGTAATTATTAGATTAACACAATTTTTGATCAAACATTTTCAAATTATAATGGATTTTAACAAAAATATTCAAACTTATTTTTATTTAAAAAAAATTTATACAAAAGAATAAACTTCCAAATTACAATAATTTGGGAAATTTAAAAATTTCTGTCCAAAATTAATTTTCTGTAAACTCATTTTGAGTCGTTTTGAAAAATGAGTAAAAGCAACGTGACTGTGGAAATTTGATTTCCTGGAAGGCGTGAGCCCCTTTAAAAGACAGGACGGAGATGAAAATAAATTATTGTCAGCGACACATGAATAAGAAATGAAGTGATCTCGCAATAATGAGCGGCACGTGGTGTTACAGATCAACGTGAAGGGAAACCAGCTGGAGAGAGTATCCGAGTACGCGTTCGCCGGATTGGAAGAGACCCTCACGGAATTGGAGCTGACGGAGAATAAGCTTCGAACTTTCCCGACGGCCGCGCTCCGGAGACTCGAGCAGCTGAGAGCACTTCATTTGGCATGGAACGAGGTACGAAAAAGACGCCTAATTTTATTACGCCCGCACCCCAATCGAAATCCGCCGTGAATAATTTATTAGATCGCCCCGCGCCTCTTGAATGTCATTTATAAATTTTTAATGAGCGCGCTTTCAATTTTTTATGTGCCCGAAAGGAAAACTCGGCGCCGAATGAGGAGAGAAAAATCCTCGTCTTGGTTTCCTTGTTTGCACAGATGTTAAAAGTTGATGCAAAAAGTTGCTCTCTCCAAGCGAAAAAAATTTCATTTGGAAGGGACAGCTCTGATTTGGTTGGGTTACTTACATGATGGTCCTGGCCATAATTATGTTTAACCAAAAAGCTGAAGAAAATGAATAAATTTAAAAAAAGCTGGGTCGAGATTTGGTCGCAAAAGATATTTCACGCATAAATTAAACATTTTTTTTTATGAAATATTTTTATATTATTTATTTTTTTAGAATTATTCATATTTAAAAACAAAAAAACAAGTCAAGTAAATTACAAAACTAGAGGAAAAGTCTAAAAATTGGATGAAATTTTTGTTGTTTTTCGTCATGAAAAACGCAACCCACATCTTGTGCTTAGCTCTTGCCCATGCTAAACTCGGAAAATTTAGAAAATTGGGTAGAATTGGGAAGTGCAAGCGCGAGTTAATTGAATATCTGTCGCTATTATTTAATGTATACTAAAAATTAATTCAAAACTCCGCTTATTTATGTTAATTGCATCAAATTGAGCTGATAAAAATCTTTGAATCAAAATAATTCAGCAGGCTTGAGGAAGTGTAATTTTTTATTTCTGTCTTCTTTTTAATTGGTATTTTGGTCTCCTCTCAATCAATTTTTTTAAGGTTTAATTTAAATTTATTTCCAGTTTTCCTCAAAATTCCAATTTAAATCAAATTTCCTGCAAATCAAACAAATCTTCCATTTCACTTTGCCATCAACTTGCTAATTACAATTAACCGGGGTAAGAAACACCCGCAGCCGTGCCTCTTGGCAAACACACATCATTTGGTTAGTCGGACCCATTTCGAAATTGAGGTAGCGCCTCTCGCTTGCAAAGTGAAAGGGGTGAGCCTCGCGCCGTGCAGACAACCGTAGATATAATTTATTAATTGCACCCTCCGTCAGTGGCGTGCGGCTCTCACTGACAACCGACTCTGCCCTAATATTCATGTGTTTTGTTCTCTTGACTCGCAAAATGTGTTTCACGAGATGCTCGTCGGCTGTTTAGCACTGAATTAGACGCATTCCACTCAATTTAGCTCGGTAAATAGATTTTCGCAGCGCTGCCTCGCGGAATTAAATTCCAGCCGAGGGTTCCCTTCGCTCGCTCCGCTTGTAGCGAACAACGAGGCGCGAATTCATCTCGCTATTTGGGGGAGCTCATTATTCTCCGGGGCTCGCCGCAATTATTTGAAAAGGCATTAAGCGACTTGCAATGTTTCTCGCCGAATTAGCACTCGCACGTGCGGCTTTTTGCTGCTTTTTTAAGGTGCTGCTGCTCTACCAGGCGAATTTGTAATCGGCTCAGTTTATTGCGAAAGCCAGAGAGAAAATGGCAGGTTTTAAATCAGAAAAAATGCTCTAGCTTTTAGACCAGAACGAAATTCAAAATTTAGAAATGGAAAATACCAAACTTAAATAATGGTGAGTTTAATTTAAAGTCAGCTTTTCCTGATGGGTTTTTTTGTGTAGTGTTTTTATTTCAGGAAAAAATAATATTCTGCTCTACGTTTTAGCTGCGGACTGTTAGTTTATTGACAGAAATTATTACTCAAATAACTTTTAAATTTTTCTTAAAACAAAAACTAAAAATTAAAAACTCTCGAAGAAAATAAATCATTTTTTGTACAACGATTTTTTTTCAAAAAAGTGTATATTTTCTTCGATTTTAAAATAACTCTCCAATAATCAGCCCCCAAGAAATTCCACTACAAAAAAATATAATTATTTTGATAAATTCAATTCCTAAAAGTTCAAACGATTATTTAATTTGATGGTTTTTTTTAAGTATAGATTACTCTGTAAAATAGATAAAGTACTTTGCCTGGAACTTCTGTAGTTGATAAAGATATTTCTCACAGCTTCAAAAAACATGTAAAAAAAATAAGGTAGCGATCTTGAAGTCATTGTATGTTTTAACTTGTAATTGAAATCGCGACGAGAATTCCTTCGCCGGTTCGTTAAATATGTATTATAACCGCTCGCGATAATTCAGCGGAAAGTAGGTCAAAATTAGACCTCGCATGTGGTAGTGTGTCGGCGGAATTACAGAACTCGCGGCGGCGTATGAAAACATTATTTTCGGATTATAATTATATTTTGCGTGCATGTATCGTACAGACGTGTTACATTAAAGTGGATAGACCTTTTTCAACTCACTCGATTTTCCTGCTCTCTGGCACAAACAACGCGTGCGGAGAAAGGAAACGCATTTCGGCGGGCGGAGTACTTTTCACTCAGATTTATTCCGAATTGCCTCAAAGCGTTTGCAAAAGCGAGCGTGTATTATTGAAAGGCAAGCAGCGCAGAAATTTCATTTGCATCACTCGAGAGTGGAAATGAAACTGCCACGCCAAAGATAATATTTTTCGCCTGCGTGTTAAAATGATTCCGACGAGGAGCTTTCTCCGCAAGTACGATTCTGAAATCTCCCAGAAACACACACACATGTATGTATTCGCAATTCAAGTTTTGCAAGTGTGTGATTTTGGAAGGAGGTCGCCGCAGGGGCTTGTCAAAAACTTGTGCACGCCGCTTTTATGCAAGTTAATTGACGCGGGTAGACTTTGCCGGAAAAGTTAGTTGAAATAGGCCCTTTTCAAAGTGTTTCCAAATTGTTTATACCCTCTGCAAGAAGTTCAAGCGAAAGAAAAAGTTTAGAAAACTTGAAATACACTTTATAAATAAATTGTATTTTGAATTTTTTTTCATTTAATGGAAAAATGTATAAAAAAAAATTATTAAATCACAAAAATTACTTTCGCCTTTTTATGATAACAGATAAAAGAGTTAGGATATTAATATGAAAATTTTTGTTGAACCCAAAATTCAGCGAATAGAAATTTGCATTACTTTTTTATCTCGTAATAAAAATTATAAATTAAATCATCTGCAACTTTTTATTCCAATTACTTGAGGAAAACTTTCCCAACTCTAGGCAGGTTTAAAAAACAATTTTCTTACAAATTTTAGTTGCAAAGTGTCTTTATTGATTGTATCAGAAGGCAATTTTACCTTGCAAAATGTAACTTTACTTCAATTTTAAAGAGCTCTATAAATTTGAATATTACATGAACCTTGAAGATCCCAATTTTCATCTTACTTTCAGTTAAGATGTAAAAATCTTTGCAATTGAATTAACTAAAAATAGTATAATTTCCCTTCTTTTTTCAAAACATATTTTATGGTCGGTATAATTTTGCGTTTCTCATTTCTATTTAAATAAAATTAATTGCAGCATGCACGGCCTCGAGGGACCTTTAAAAATTCCGTTCGCGTTAGCATAATGACGGTTAAATTTCACCCCGTCGGCCGCTTTTTATTGCATCCCGTATTTTCCTTCACGCCGCGATGCACAGCGCGCCGTACTTCTCTCGCGCTCGGATGCTGATTGCGCCACAACGTGTACTCGCAAATAGAATTTCCGCCGGCAAAAAGTGCACCAACTGCTGTGTACAGAGTATGCTAATTTGAAGCAATTATTCGCATAATGCCCCGCCTAGCGCTTGAATATTAAATCGCATGTTTGCTTTTTCTTGCCGCTTATTTCTCTCGAGACGTGCATTCGTTTTTTTCTTTTTCCTTTCCACCGTTATTCTTTTCATTGTTGTGCCACCGGCAATGGAAGCTTTCGATTAACCGCAAAATGTGCATTAGCGTGGAAGTAGCGCGTGGGAAATCCGTGTGGACTTTCTGTGTGGGAAAGGCAGGCGCAGACAAATATTGGCATTAAATGCGATCACGATCTGCTGACGCTCCGACGCAAATTCTCAATAATCCCCCAGCCGACGGCAGATGTAATTGCGAGCTCCGTCACATTATTGAGCTACTAGATTATTAATGCTCGAGATGGATTCGCACACACAGTCATAGGGAGAGTCAAAGCTGAACATACAGCAATTAATGGTAGATAAATAATAGCATCAAATTCTACATATTCAAGATGATTTGAAATTCGTAATCTAAATAGTTTATTATATTTTGCGTCGATGGGCTTTGTGAGTTGTTGATTGTTTCAGAAAATAAATATACCTGTTCTACATGTTTTGGCTGCGAATTGCAGCCATAATTCATAAGATGGAAATTATTTCGACAAATATTGGTAAATAAATTAATTTTGTAAAAGTGTTTTCCTCAAATAATCTGAATTTATTCCTTTCAAAAACTCTTTTCAGTTACAACTTTTTATATTAAATAATGTGATTAAAAATTTGACAATTATTGTTAGAAATATTTTTACAAATTTAATTTTTGAAATAATTTTGGTTTGTTTAGAGCGTACCTTTCTTGGAGGAGATTAAGAGAAGACTAGATTATTTTTTGTTTGATTTTTCAGGTGAAAAAGGTACTCTCAAAACACACGTTTCTCTATTCTGACCCAAAATTTTATAAAAATTTAATTTGCAAAAATATTTTCAGCAATTATTGTCGACACAACAACGCATGACTGGAAATTATTTACAAATTAAATTTAACTAATAATTTTATTTTACTTTGTTTTTTTGTTAAAAAATACTTTTGAAAATATTATTTGGTATAATATTGTAACTGAAAAGAATTTTTGAGAAAAATTGATGGAAACACTTTCATAAAATTAATTTATGAACTAATTTTGGTCAAAATAATTTCTTAGCTTGTGAATTATGTCTGCATGAAATATGCAGAGCAGGTTATTGTTTTTTCTTCAACAAGAATCAACTCGCAAAAAAAAATTTTTTTAATTCTATATAAATTAATATCTTTTTGGAGGACACTAAAATATTCAAAAAATTTAAAATATAATTAACTGAAGTGAATTTTTACTTTTAACAAGCTAGAATTTGAAATCACCATTTTATTATTGTTGTTTATTTGCCCAAATTTTTACATCACATCACATTGTTTACATTCAATTGTTGAAAACAATTTATTTGAAAAAAAATTTGTGGACAAAACGGCACCAAACGTTTCAGAGTTATTCTCTCATGAAACATTTCTAAAGCAGAAACCGCAGAACATACACCTAGCATAGCTGACACACACTTAATCATGGCCAATGGCCCTTGGCGTTTCGCAGCCCTTTAAAATTCAAGGCGGATAACTTTGAGCCGATGTAGGTAGGGGTGTTTAAGTGGCATTGAGAAGCAATCATGGGTCGAGCTGACCGCAGAGGGAACTTGTGCAAATCCATCCGGTCGCTTATAATCCCCCTTAGGACCAGTCATTAATCATGGCGCGGAGAAAATTAAATGCTAAAATGGTGTGTGTTGTTGACAGATATCGACGATCCAGGACGACGGCCACTCGCGCCTCGACTCGCTCACCCTGCTCGACTTGAGTTCCAACAACCTGCAGGCCGTGGCCGCCCACAACTTTCGCTCAATGCCCGCCCTGCGGTCACTCTCGCTCTACCACAACGGCGTCGAGACGGTGCACCCCGACTCCTTCTCCATGCTGCCCCAGCTCGAGGCGCTCGATCTCAGCCATAACAAGGTATGGATCTGTCAATCTAGCCCCTAATTAGCGATTGTCCGTCCGGCCGACGGCGGAACATGGCTCTAGACGTGTCCTGGCTCGAGAACAAGTCATGAAGTCATCTCAAGTCTGATTATTTGTGACCAAGCCAAAGGGCTTTTCAAGTATTTTACCAAAATTGACAAGTAAAAATGAATTATTACAACCCTTTGCAATACATAAAATAATGTGGGCTCTAAAGTTTAAACAATGTTTTTTTAATTTTTTTTTCTACAATAGTAATTATTTTTAACTTTAACAATAGAAAATTTATTTTACTAAATTTGAGTTATTATATATTAAATATACCGCTATAAATAACAATAAAGAAAACAAGAAAAGTATTTTAAATTGGGACTGACACAAACAAAATTATTTCAATCAGGCTTTTTTATTTATCTCAGTTTAGCTTTTTCTAATTTGTCTGAAATTTGCTTTTTCTTTTTTATCTCATATAGGCTAATTCTTTTTCAACTAAATTTAGCTTTGCCAGATTTATTTCAATTTGGCTTTTTCATTTTTATCTTAAATCAGCTTATTCTTTTCCAACTTAATTTAGCTTAATCAGATTTTTTTCAAAATTGCATTGTCAAATTTAAAGTACATTAACTTTTTCTAATTTATCTAAAATTATATATTTCCAATTTAACATAAATTTATTTTTCAAAATGTATTTATTTACCTAAATTTTTACATTGGGAGCCAAGATTTATATATGAAATTTAAAATTTTCATTAAGAATAAATATTAAACAATTTGTTAAATATACCGCTATAAATAACAATAAAGAAAAGTATTTTAAATTGGGACTGACACAAACAAAATTATTCCAATTAGGCTTTTTTATCTCAGTTTAGATTTTTCTAATTTGTCTGAAATTTGCTTTTTCTTTTTTATCTCATATAGGCTAATTCTTTTTCAACTTAATTTAGCTTTATCAGATTTTTTTCATAATCGCTTTGACAAATTTATAGTACATTAACTTTTTCTAATTTATCTAAAATTATATATTTCCAATTTAACAATAATTTATTTTTCAAAATTTATTTATTTACCTAAATTTTTACATTAGGAGCCGAGATTTATAAAAATATGAAATTTTAAATTTTCATTAAAAATAAATATTAAACAATCTGTTGAATATACCGATATAGTTAACAATAAAGTCAATAATAAAGGAAAGTGTTTTAAATTGGAACTGACCCAAAAAAAATTATTTCAATTAGGCTTTTTTATTTATCTCAGTTTAGCTTTTTCTAATTTGTCTGAAATTGGCTTTTTCTTTTTTATATTATATAGGCTAATTCTTTTCCAACTTAATTTAGCTTTCTCAGATTTTTTTCAAATTTGCTTTGTCAAATTTAAAGTACATTAACTTTTTCTAATTTATATAAAATTATATATTTCCAAATTAACATAAATTTATTTTTCAAAATTTATTTATGTACCGAAATTTTTACATTGGGAGCCAAGATTTATAAAAATATGAAATTTTAATTTTTCAATAAAAATAAGTATTAAACAATTTGTTAAATATGCCGCTATAAATAACAATAAAGTCAATAATAAAGGAAAGTGTTTTAAATTGGGACTGACACTAACAAAATTTTCAGTATTAAATTTATAAGTAATTTTCCCTTCGAACACTATGCGCAGGTCGAGGTTCACTTTTAATGAGTCTCGTCTTTCTTGTAACCCGCTTGCAAATTTAATATTTGCACGCGTCAATCAAACGGTAGTCCCTTTATTGCCGCGAGCAGAGATAGCTCGCTCGCTTTTTATTTAGGGGTGTTACGTCAATTTTGGGCTTATCTCGCTCGAGAGCCATTACGGGGCGCGTCACTCGCGAAATTGCACGGCGCGTTCACGTCTTGCGCCACCGCCGTGTATATAATATAAATATATGCACAAATCTTTATTACTTTTCGAGATAAAAATTCATATCTCACAACGGGCGCGGAAACTCTGATGTATAAATTATAAACTCGCCCGGTTTTCATCGCTGCCTCTTTTCTGCAGCCGCCGAGATTAAAATAAAAAAAAGCAGTAGACGTCTCGGCGACGTGCTCGGTTTAAAAAGCCGCTCAATGCAAAATCCGACTTCTTTGAAAGCCCAGCCGACTATATTTTTTCCTCTCTTTTATGTTCGCAGATCGTGCACCTGGACTCGACAACTTTCCGGGGCAACGCCAAAATAAGGACGGTCGATTTGAGCCACAATCACGTGCACCACATCACGGGGGTGTTTTCGCACCTGCCCGAGTTGCGCGAGCTAATTTTATCCGAGAACAACATCCTGGAGGTTCCCCGCGGTGCCTTCACCGAATCCATTCAACTCTCGGTGGTGCACCTGCAGCAGAACGCGATCCGCCGCGTGTCTGGCGAGGCTTTTGTTTCGGTGCCTTCGTTAACCGAGCTGCACCTCAGCGACAACTTCATTAGCAGCATCCCCGCCGAACTGTTCACGCACCTCGACAAGCTCACCTCGCTCAGCCTCGACAACAATCTCATTAACGTTCTCGCGCCCGGCACCTTCAGCGCGTGCAACTCTCTGCGCGAACTCCGCCTCCAGAACAACAAACTCGAGCACATCCAGTCGGGGGTGTTTTCCTCGCTGCCGTCGCTGATCGAACTCCACCTTCAAAATAACGAAATCAAGTCAATAGACAGCAAGGCGTTTTACTCCATGAACAACCTGCAGCACATCAACCTTCAGAGCAACAAACTGGGCAGACTGGGCGACGTTTTCGCCCACAGGTCGTCCAGTCTGGTTTCAATTCAGGTGGACAATAATCTCATCAACAGCATGCACGAGTTCACCTTCAAAGGTCAGGGTGGCGTTCAGATCATCTGGCTGAGCCACAATCAGCTCAACCGAATAGAGAGGACCCTGTTCCAGGACCTGCTGCTCATCCAGCGGCTCTACCTGACCAACAATTCCATCAGTGCCATCGAGGACAGAGCGTTTGTCAGTTTGCAGGCGCTGCAGTTCCTGGACATGTCGCACAACAAGTTGCGGCAAATCACGCGCCAGAGTTTCGCCGACCTGAGCGAGCTGGAGGAGCTCAGCCTGGCGTCCAACTTGATCCAATCCATCGCCCCACGTGCCTTTTCCAGCCTGAAAAAGCTGCGCACCCTCGACCTTTCAGGAAACTCGCTCAACGTCATCCACGCCGAGATGTTCCAGATCGGCCTGCCCATCAGGGTGCTCAACCTGAAGAACTCGTCGGTCAGCAAAATCCAGGACGGCGCCTTTCGAGGACTGAACAATTTGAACGAACTCAACCTGGAGGACAACCGGTTCGGCGCCGAAACCATCAACCAGCTGGACATCCCCGGCCTCAGGGTCCTGCGCCTCTCGAAAAACAACCTGAAAGGTCTGGACTCGGATTCGCTGCGCGGGTTGGGTTCGTTGACCACGCTTTATCTGGACCGCACGCAGCTCAACAAATTGCCGCACGACATTTTCCAGGCCAACCACAATCTGAACAAACTCGATTTGGGCGTGAATAAAATCAAAGCGCTGCACAAGGACACGTTCGGCCACCTGGGCGGGCTGCGTGAGCTGCGATTCAACGGCAACTCGATGCTCGAGTTTCCGTACTCGGCGATCGCCAACGTGACTAGTTTAGAGGTATTGATCGCTTCCAATAATGCGATGCCCAATGTGGATTTTAATCGGTTGATTGGCCTGCGTAAATTGCGAGAGCTCGACCTGCACGCAAACTCGATAACCAGCATCATCGGCTTCACCAACACAAATTTATCTCACTTGCAGAGCCTTGATTTGAGCGACAATTTGCTCGCGGGGCTGATCAATAATTTCTTCCACTTCTCCGTTGGCATTCTGCGAATTAATCTGGCGAAAAACCAATTCCGGCACATTCCCACGCCACTGTCGGGCCAAAATCTGCCGCAGCTGCGATTTTTAAACATGACCCAGAACCCGGTGACCGAGCTGGCGTTCGCACGCCGCTTCCCTTCGCTCCAGGAAATCCACATTTCGCGCACCAACGTCACCGTCATCACGAGCCGCGACTTTGAGAACTACCCAATGCTGCTGCACTTGTTCCTCAATCACAACCGAATAATGAAAATCTCGCCGAGCGCCTTCAAGAGCTTAAAGCAGCTGCTCACCTTGGATTTGAGCATCAACCAGATCGAAATGATCCCCCAAGAGAGACTGCAGGGATTAGGCGAGCTGCGCCTGCTCAACATAAGCCACAACCAATTAAAAGAGCTGGAGGTCTTCACCGGCGACCTCAAGTCGCTGCAAGTGCTCGACATCTCGTTCAACCAAATCGCCCGCATTGCCAAGTCCACTTTTAGTCAATTAGACAAACTCGCCGAGCTCTACCTGTACGGCAACTGGATCTCTAGTGTTGCCAACGACGCCTTCAGGCCGCTCAAAAAATTGAAGCACCTCGACCTTGGGCGCAACTATCTTGAGAATCTGCCCCTCAACGCCCTCAAGCCCCTCGAGACGCAAATTAGGAGTCTGCGAACGGACGGTGAGTTTTTATTATTATTTTTTCTTCACAGGTAGGCATCCCGCTCGGCAAATAAAGCGAGCCGGTTGCCTACCTCTTTTTATTGTCGTCGCGCAGAGCAAATGTTTGCCCAGATGCGGGCCTACGGCGGATTAATCACTCTCACTCTCCTCCCATCCGGCCGAAACTGCGCTGAAAGAGGCAAAAAGTTGGGGCCATTCGGAATAATTTGCAGCATTGTTCCGCCATCGCCAGCTCTCATTCATATTTCATTGTGCAGAGCCAACAGCCCCGTGGCTCATACTCTGTTGCTTGCCGCCAACTTTTGCTTTCTTTCTTTTACAACAACAGTGAAACGGGCCGCGCTGAATAAATGTATAAGTTTTGGCACAAACTTTTTTTTACTCTTGCCATATCAAAATTCCCATGTTTGCCGAGTAATTTGACTGAAACTTTTATCGTGTGGTGAAAGAGGGAAAAATAAATAGAAAGTAAAAATGCTGTACAACGTGCTCGGCCAGACACAATAGCCCAAAAACTAGCAGAGCGCATTTCCATGTGCAAGAAAGGGAAGGAAAGCAGACGGGCCGTGCTATTGATTTTCCGTGCTGCTTTTTTTTACTGTGCGGGGCTGTTTTATTTATCGGTACACTTCATGGAACTCACTTGAAGCACGGGCAAATTTTGATTTGCGTGATTTTATTCATGCGCGCCGGTATTTGTACGGACAGACAGGCGAAAGGCACGCAAATTTTGGCGCATACACGGCCGATCTTTTGTGGCTTTTGAATGGACTCCACTTTGTATACTTTGTGTCGAATTTATTGGATTTGTCTTTTTCTAATTTGTCTGAAATTAACTTTTTTCTTTTTATCTTAAATTAGCTTATTCTTTTTCAAAGTAATTTAGCTTTAAACAAATTTATTTCAAATTTGCTTTTGCTAATTTAAGGTAAATTTACTTTTTCTACTTTATCTTAAATTATATATTTTTTTAGAATCAGTTTTCTAATTTAAGGTAATTTTACTCTTTTTATTTATCTTATATTATATATTTTTTATTTAATATAAATTTAGTTTTTTTAAATTATTCTAATTTTTCTAATTTGTCTGAAATTCACTTTTTTCTTTTTATCTTAAATTGGCTAATTCTTTTACAAACTAATTTAGCTTTATCAAATTTATTTCAAATTTGCTTTTTCTAATTTAAGGTAAATTTACCTTTTTCTGCTTTATCTTAAATTATATATTTTTTTTAGAATCAGTTTTCTAATTTAAGGTAATTTTACTCTTTTTATTTATCTATACATATTTTTTTTTTTAATATTAATTTACTTTTTTTAAATTATTCTAATTTTTCTATTTTGTCTGAAATTGACTTTTTTCTTTTTATCTTAAATTGGCTAATTCTTTTACACACTAATTTAGCATTATCAAATTTATTTCAAATTTGCTTTTTCTAATTTAAGGTAAATTTACTTTTTCTACTTTATCTTAAATTATATATTTTTTATTTAATATTAATTTACTTTTTTAAAATTATTCTAATTTTTCTATTTTGTCTGAAATTGACTTTTTTCTTTTTATCTTAAATTGGTTAATTCTTTTACAAACTAATTTAGCATTATCAAATTTATTTCAAATTTGCTTTTTCTAATTTAAGGTAAATTTACTTTTTCTACTTTATCTTAAATTATATATTTTTTTAGAATCAGATTTCTAATTTAAGGTAAATTGACTCTTTTTATTTATCTTAAATTATATATTTTTTATTTAATATAAATTTAGTTTTTTTAAATTATTCTAATTTTTCTAATTTGTCTGAAATTGACTTTTTTCTTTTTATCTTAAATTGGCTTATTCTTTTTTAAAGTAATTTAGCTTTATCAAATTTATTTTAAATTCGCTTTTTCCAATTTAAGGTACATTGACTTTTTCTAATTTAGTAATTTAACTCTAATTATATATTTCCTATAATTAATATGCTTTTTCAAATTGTACTCAATTAGGCCGTCTTAAAAAAAAGGAGCGGCGCACCCAGCGCCAAGAAGCGTTTCAAAAAACACCACCCTGATTTATATATCTTCAGTTCTCATTAACTCTTGACAAATAACTCGAATTTTTCAATTTTGAATTAACGAGGTTGTAATTTTCCATTCGTTTTGTTTTTACAGACAACCCGCTGCACTGCGGTTGCGACGCGCAAGAGTTGTGGGAATGGTTCCAGGACCACCAGAAGTTGCTGGCATCAGGCAACCGGCTGCGGTGCGAATACCCGCTCGAGCTCAAGGGCCAGAACTTCCTGGAGCTGGAGCCGCCGCGCTTCTGCACCACCCCGCTCGTGCTCAAACTGGCCATCCAGGACATCCAGACGTTCTCGGTGGTGGTGTCGTGGGTACCGCGCAACCACAGCGGCATCCACGGCTACCGCGTCGGCTACCAGTCGCTCGACCACCCCTCCGACCCCGCCAAGTCCAAGTTCATGGAGCGCTCGTCGCGCACCGTCAAACTGTCGCGCTTGTACGCCAACACCAGATACCAGGTCTGCGTCATGGGACTGACCAACTGGGAACCGGGCAACGTCAGCGATGACGTCGCCAGTGGAATGGTACGTTCCGTAAATTGCTTTTATTACAACTGAAATAGTAGTTTATATTGCATGGGACAGGTTTTAATCTGCTAAAAAATTTAAGAAAATATTCTTATTGTTAGCAAAACAATTGGTCAAACCTGAATTTTCCTAACTGTTATTACTGGTTAAGAACAATAGAAAGTTCCGTCACTGATTCTGTTAAAATGTTGAAAACTTGCGTCGATAAACAAATTCTAACAAATGGAAGCTTTTGATGGTTTAATTTTTTCTTCTCTTTTTTTAAAAAAAAAACGTGATTTGACGAATTTTAAAATTTGAACAAATCATTTCCCAAAATCGAACATTGACCCATGCTTCTGAAAGTTAGTAAAGCAACCTACTTGTCTTGAATCTAAAGACCTTCTCACATAACTATAGGGATGGGCAAAACGACTAACCAACTTCTTTTCTTTAAGTTTTAAGCGCGTTATCAGGTGTAAAAAGTCCAAATTGTAGGTTAAAATTCAAATTTAAAATCGACTATTTCGACTACGTGATGGAAAATCAACTATTAAGCGGAAAAGTAGACTTTTTATCAACAATTTTCCAATTTTTTGAGGGAAAATTATAAAATTTTGAGCCAATTTTGATTAAAAAACTAATAAAAAAGATCTCATGAGCATTTCCGAGTGAGATTGAGGGGGCTTTGGACAAAAAAAATTACCAATTATTACCAAATTAAATAATGAAATAATTTATGTTTCTTACAGTCAAAATAACTAAAATTTAGGATATATCGTGGTTTTGATTGATTTTTCAGGTTTTTAAAATTTTTTATCCAAAAATATGCCTCGGAAAAGCACGTTTTTCATTATTTAGCCTGTATTTTCTCAAAAACCGAAAAAATGGCCATTCTGAAAATTACAGGGCCGACGTAAAATTTCATGGGCTACATTTTTTCCTGTATCACCAAAAAAATTGGAGGGGGGCTATCATTGTCAAAATTTTACTTTTATATAAAAATCTCCGAAAAGTGACATTACCCTTAAGTCTACGACTTTTATGTCAACGGCAAAGTTGTTCAGCGTAAAAATTTAGGTCATGAACAGTTTAGATCATTGTTCTAACCCAAACCGTTCCAAAGTTATGGACAATCAAAAAAATCTCGGGTCATTTTTCAACCCCCAAAATTTTGGGCAACGCCCCTTTTTTGAGGTCTCAAAATTGGCGAGGAGGCCCTTCAGACACCCACTTTGACATATGTTAAAATAAGATATGGTAATTTTTTTTGTCCAAAGCCCCCTCAATCTCACTCGGAAATGCTCTCGACATGGTTTCTGGCGACCATCTAATAATACTTTTTGTCTTAAAAAGGAAGAATTGATTATTATATTATTGGGCCACATAACATTAAAAATAACATTAGAAAATAAATATTATTTTTACCTAAAATAAATCAACCAATTCATGTTGAATGTTTTTGATTGACGGAAATTGTGTTGTTTGATTTAACGTTGTTTGGCACTTCTCAGATGGACTCGAGCACGACAAAGTGCACCGAGGTGAGCACCCTGGAGCCGGTGGAAGGCGCGAGAGTGGAGGTGGTGCAAGTGTCGAGCGGCAAAGCGGCGCGGAACATCCCCGAGGGGTCGGTGCTGACGCGCAGACTGGGTCTGATCGTGGGCACGACCACGGGCGGCCTCGTGTTCGTGGTGCTCGTCGGCTGCCTCAGCTACCTCAAGATCAAGAAGCGGCGCGGCATGAAAACGGACGACGGCACCGGGCCGCAGGAGTACATCACCTACGACCGGGCGCTCTCCTTCCAGAGCACCGACCCCAACCAGAGCACCATGGGCACCACGGACACGCTCATCGGCAGCTAACTAATATTCCACCTATCCTAATTGCGCCAATTAGGAGACGAGGACTATTGTTTTTTACTTCAGCAAAGAGAAGATTTAACTCGATATTTTTTTATATTAATTCTCAAGTGGTTTCGAAAACAACAAAACCAATCATGAACTGGAATGTTTGTCATTTTTCAACCTCCGGACGATCTCGGCCAACCAAAGAAGAAGCATCTGGTGAATATGGTGGTGAATTTTATTTGTTACTATTTCAGGCAGAACGTTAACAACACGTGCGGACACTCGGTGCGAATTGCTCAATTTGAAGAATTATTATTATTTAGAAAAAGGAAATTATCTCACCACCAGAAAACTAGTGCTCTCGCAACTTAAAATTCACTTTCTCTCTTCGATAAAAAAAATATAAATTTGAAAATTCGCTTTTGAATAGAATTCACGGTTAGGTCTCCCGAAACAACCCCGACCGCAAAATTTCACCATTCATCTTAATGTTCCGCGAAAAAACAAGCAGGCTCGAGCAAGGAGCGGAAAAGCAGCGGCAACAGATTATTACGAAAGTTGTGCTCTTTTTTTCTCATTGAAAAGTTGAAGAAAGTTTTTATATGATGCTTTAGTGCACTCTGATTAAAATGCACGCGGAAAATATAGAACAAGACACGCGGACAATGTATCATTCGATTAAAAGTTTTAATTGTCTAATAAATTCATTAGTCGGCGCCGGAGTCCTTCTTTGTGCGCCACTTTAATTGTGCGCAAAGTGTGATGGATGCGAAGAATGCGCGCGCGCGCCAGGTACATAATCCATTCTCGCGCGCGTCCATTCATTCGTCTGACAATGCAAATTACCCCCGGACGAACTGAAATAATGAATGCATCAGCATTAATAACCGCCAAAGTTTCGGCGCCGCCGCCGACAAACAAACAAAACACACATTCGCATTCAGCGGGCCGGGTGTTGCGCAATTTTTTATGAAAGGGTGGGAAAGCGGAACAAGAGGCGAAACTTTTTTATGGTCACCACATAAAAGCGCGAGAGAGTTATTTTTCCGTGTTAAATTTAATGCGACGCCCCGTCATGCAGGAAATTTTTCAAAGTCATTCGGCAAGTGAATTTTTTGCCCTTAATAAAAAAAAAAAATAGAAAAGGAGAGGATGAAATTAGCAAAATGAAAACCGCCGGAGGGAAACTCACTCGCATGGGAATATAAATTGATAAATTCTAATTGAAAATTTTAAAAGTGAAGCAGAAAATTGTTATTTATGTTAATTTTCATTGAAACAACTTTAAATTTTAAAGATTTTGAGCAAAAATTCTGATATCAGGAAATTATTATTCTAAAATTCATTTCTGTAAAGATCACTGGAATTTTCCACTACTCAAAATCATAATTATGAAGTTGATGAGACTTAAAACTTGTCCCAAAAACTAATCTTAATTAATTATTGCATTTAAAATTATTAATTTCAGGAATTAAGAATAATTAATTATTGCTATGATATCTCAAATTTTTGCTAATAATGCAATCAAATTATTTGCCAATTTTTAACTGATAACTGATTAGACTCAACAAATGCTCACAAAATTAAAAAATAAAATTAGGGGATAATTCTAGTTACCAGGAGAAAAATCCGTTCAAACCATCACGCTTTGTGAGAGGAAAACTCTTTTATTTGCCTGCTTTTTCTATGCGGGCATTCAATTAATCAACCGTGTTTTTAGTCTTTTAGTCAATGTGCGAATTGTTTTTTCCGCACACCCGCCGCACGGATCACAAGTCTTTTGCGGTGTGGAGAGACAATGGCGCCGCCAGAAACAAAAACCACCTTTGCTGGTAAAGGGCAATAAATTAAACTGTCTTCGCTTTTGAATTGGAGACGCGGCGAGACAAAACTGTCATACAATATGCATTGCCGCGGTATAAATTCGTGCCGGAGAAAACTGTTGACAAAGTAATTTAAAATCTGACGTTTCTCATCAGCTGGAGATGTCTCCGCGTTACAAATTCTGGGACAGCTCCACTCGCAGAAAGAACTACTCCTTTTCTCTCTCCCTTGCAATGCAAATAATTTATCTCTCTTCGCGCGGCGGGAGGCTCGACCTTATTTAAAATTCATTTTGCTGCAATGTAAAAAATTTCGCGGATGCATTCATAAATCAAGAGTCAAGCAAACTTTTTTACTTTAACAGTAGAAAAGTTTTAATTTTATTTTAGTTTTACGTTCATTTCAAAAATTTGATTGAACAAACTTATCTATTTCCAACAATTATCTTTTTTTTTTAAATTGAATTCATATAGAAGTTTTTTTCCTTATCTTAATTCGGCTTTTTCTTTTGCAACTGAAATTAACTTTTTCTTTTTTATCTTAATTCGGCTAATTCTATTTTATCTTAATTTGGCTAATTCTAATTTATCTTAATTTGGCTAATTCTATTTTATCTTAATTCAGCATTATCAGATTTTTTTAGAATCAGTTTTTCTAATTTATGGTAAATTGACACTTTTTATTTATCTTAAATTATATATTTTTATTTTCATTAATTTACTTTTTCAAAATTATATCAATGATGCCTTTTTTTATTTATCTTGATTTAGCTTTTTCTAATTTGTCTCAAATAGACTTTTTCTTTTTTATCTTAAATTGGCTAATTCTTTTATGAACTAATTTAGCTTAATTAAATTTATTTCAAATTTGCTTTTTCTAATTTAAGGTAAATTGACTTTTTCTACTTTATCTCAAATTATATATTTTTGATTTGGCTTTTTCTTATTTGGTCTTTAATTTGATTGAATTTATCTATTCCCAACAATTAACTTTTTTAAATTCAATTCATAGAAGCTTTATTTTTAATTCGGCATTTTCTTATGCAACTCTGATGCAACTTAAATTAACTTTTTCTTTTTTATCTTAATTCGGCTAATTCTTTTTCAACTTCATTTAGCTTTATCAGATTTTTTTAGAATCAGTTTTTCTAATTTAAAGTAAATTGACTCTTTTTATTTTTCTTTTTCAAAGTAATTTAGCTTTATCAAATTTATTTCAAATTTGCTTTTTCCAATTTAAGGTAAATTGACTTTTTCTACTTTATCTCAAATTATTTTTATTTTTTTATTTAACAATAATTGACTTTTTTTCTTTTTATCTTAAATTGGCTTATACTTTTTCAAAGTTTTACGTTCATTTCAAAAATTTAATTGAACAAATATATGGAGAAAATTTAAAAGCTGCTTCCTTCTTTTTTTCAATTTTCGATTAATAATTCACACCATTTCTGTAAAAGCAGGTCTTGTTTTAATAATTCTTATTAGAATAGAATAATTTAGAATTCTATTTTAAAATACTTTTGTATAAAAAATAATAATGAAATCTAAGATTTAAATTAAGTCGATTCTTTTTATAAAAAAATGGCGTTCCAGCATTAATTACTCTTTATTTTTACAAATATATATTTGAGAGAAATTTCAATTGATTTCAATTTTAGAAGAAAAAAATCACACCTTTCTCTTCCACTTTCATTGTCAGAACCAAGTCTGCATTCACTACGAGCGGGTTGCATACCTTTCGGAATATTCCAATCACTGTCAGTTTGAAATTCGAATCGCAGTCAGACGATCGCAAATCGACTCGCGAAAGTGTACCGTAATGATTGAACAAAAGCTCTCGCGCTTTCGTGGAATCCGTTTCTCTCTCGAGCTGTCGAATTTCTTCCGAGCAAAAGCAGGTGCCTCGGCATTTTGCGAAAAGACGTCAAAGTCGTAGCTCGCGTGCCTGATTCACACTCGCTCCAGTTGCTCTGTCAATTCAAACTCTCAGGCAAAACTAACTTTTTCGTCTGCAAATCCCAGAGGAGAAGTTTGCATATTTTTCTTCCTTCCTTCGCAGACGCCGCCGCCGCACCTGCCTGGCTCGAATACAAAAGTAATTAGCGCGCCATCCCGGCTGCGGGGAGCGAGGGCCGTATTACAATTCCGACTGCTTTACATTCAATGGGGATATGAAAATTAGCTTGAATGGCGGCCTAATTGCTCCCTCTCTCTCTCTCCCCGGCACGCTAATGGGCCGCCGCCGAAAATCTATCTGGACACGTTGCGGCTGCAAAAAGCGCAATCAACAGTGCGAGATGAGGCGAGATTGTCTCTCAGATATAAAAAAAATATAATGCTCTGAATGAAATTTAATTTTACCTCTGATCCTAAATCCAGTTCCAAAAGACTCAAGCTTTCGTTTTGAGGTTAATTACGTTGAAATTAAATCAATGTCATACAAAATATTAATCAAACGAAAACCGTTTGATGTGTAAAATTATATAATTATAAAATCAAAATTCTAATCTAAATCAAGAGTGTAAATTATATTTTATTTCGTCCTTTTATACAAAACTATAAATATTTATTAAGAATTTAAAATTTTAAACCCTAAAAAGAAGTTAACTTTAAAATTTCAATATAAATTTGAAAATTGATTACCATATTTTTTCAATATAAAATTATTAATTTTGTGGTAGAATTTCACAATCGAGGGTTGATTCATGGTGATTTGAATTTAAAATCGGCTTTTCCTCGATGGGTTTTTGTGAGTTGTTTTTTCTTAAACAATAAACAACTCACAAAAACCCATCGAGGAAAAGCCGATTTTAAATTCAAATCACCATAAAATTATTAAAATTAAAATGCAAATGAAATTTCGTTTGTGGTTACAAAATTTTAATAAATCCAGCGATATTTGCATTCTGGTCTTCTTAAACTTAATTCCTATTTTAAAGGGAAGTTGCACAAATTAAATTATTATTTCAGAGGATTTCCTATGAAGGGGGCCAATAGAGACTCTTTACGTTCGTGCGAAATTGGCCTTGCTATATCGCAAGTAATAATTTTAAAACCTCTGAAACTGTGTTTGTCACATCACGCAAAATGCATTTCATCCCGGAATTGGCGCCTTTTAAGATTTAGTTTAAAATTAAGCTGCCCATGGAAATATTAAATCGATTTAGGATTTTACAGTAGAAACCTGAAGGAACTGAATATATAAAAAAAAAACTCGCGGTAATATTTGGAAATAAAAAATTTGCAGACAAAATTCAATTTTCTCTGTTTTGCGTGCATGGGCAATTATCTGATTCTACACAGAGAAATAAACACTTATTCCGAAGCACTCGAAATGAAATTGGAAAACAAAATTTTTTTCGATTTCCAATTTAATTAGGCTCACCAATTTCTGGCGCTTGAAACAACAAAAAACAATAATGAAGAACGGTTCGGATGTTCAATGGAAAAAAAATTGGCTGCTAATTGTTGCCATGGGCAATAATCGACAGAGCACTTTCTGCACCACCGCTTCACTTTGCATAATTAAATGATCGCCGGTGTACATTTTAATTACAATAATCTAGCGATGAAATGCCGTCGCACATATGCAGAGCAATAAAAACGCGCCGGTTTTAAATTTTCATTACCGGCTCATGAATGTTTGGCATTGGCCAAAGTGCGCGTCATTTGGTTTCGCATTCAATCGGGCGTGTGTTGATAAAAGCCATATTCAAACAAAACCGAATATTGGCACGTGAGCGCAATTTTCCCAATTCTGGTCCTTTTATGTGCTCGAATTTTAATGAATGGGGATTAATGAATCGTGTTTGCGCACGTCATCAAATTCAGACAACTACTTGTTATTTTTTCGCGTATGAGAGCGATAGAAATGAAAATAATTAGCGCGTGGGTAAATCATTTTGAAAAGTGGCGCTTTTGAGAGAATAGTCAATAAATGAGTTCGGGCAAAATGGTGCTAAATAAAGAAAACCACAAATCACTGATGAAAAAGTCAATTTTTCTAAAAAAAAATAAAGAATACTGTTTTTGGCTAGATTTAATTTCAAATGAACAATTCAGTAAGGAAATTAAAATTATAATCAAAATGATAGCACAAACGTTCCTGGTACAACTCCTATTCTTTCCCTAAAGTTCTTTACTTAATTTATTTTAATTATAAAATTAGCTTATAAAAAAATTGAATTTAATCCTATTAAACATTTTTACAAAATTTTATATTTCCAATTTCTTCCCTATTTTTCACCTCCAGACGCATTTATGCTAATTTACATCAAATAAGCTTTCCTTATTTGATTTTTTGACTTCACATTAACAAAAGAGTTATGCTTAAATTTCAAAGAATATGAGCTAATTATTCAGAAATTTCACTTTCTCTTCACCGCCAAGTTTGTTAAGAAAGTTACCAACACGCTATATTATTGTTTTCAGTAGTGCCCATTGTGCGAAACCTCTCTATCGAAAAAGTTTTCCTGCGTGCCAAGTTCATTTTATATGGGTTCTCACGAGTGTATTTTAGTTCCGAACTTAATGGAGTCGCGGTGGTTGCATGAAAATGGGTGCAAAATTAAACTCTCTTTGCGCTATTATGTCTCTCCGCAGTGCTTTTCATTCTCTTTACATTTTCACCCACACTTCAAACACACACACATGCAAGCCAGGCTTTTATCTCGTTTCTTTCGCCGAGACATTTTATGCTGCTTCGTGCATATTTTAATTGGACGTCTCATTAAAACTGTCAAGCAGCGGCAAACTTTCATTGTATTTGCCGCCCTCTCGTGTATAATCTAGAAAAAAGAACAAGCAGTGAATTTCGGTTCATTAACGTCGCCGGCTTTTCCTAAATTTTAATTGCGGTTTCATTATTACACTGACAACTGACGCCGCCGCGTTTCCCTTCCTTGCAAAAAAAAACGAGCGAAAAAATCACAATGTAAGATAAAAATTTCAAATTTCCATTCCAATATAAATCTCTTTGAAAATCTCTAAACGAAAGTTTCATTAGACAAAATTTATAGCAATTCTACATCCAGAAAAAGAAAAAAAACGACAAGACAGTTCAGAACGTAAGATTTAGTTTCATATATTTTAGGTGTATCATTTAGATTTCACAAAATTGTTGTATTTGTGTCATTTCACATTTACTTAAATCTAAATGTGTAAAATTGCAATTATCACTTTTTGACGTAACATTTGTGTATATTTAATAATTACAAAATTAGTTTCAATTAAGTATTATATGTGCTTTTAACATTTTTAAATTTGTGTTAAACGAAAACCGCTAACAACGAAGACAATTTTTTCTTTGAAACTTTGAAACGTGAAAATATAACTTCAAGGTTTTGAAAACAAAATTGTTGTTCATTTTTATATAAATAATAAAACAAAACAAAAAAAAAATTAAATGATTTTGGAGTTGAGCGGGTTTCGTTTAATAATTAACTCAAAATTTCTTCTCTAAATGTGCATGAAAATCGATAGTTTCCTCGTCTTTCTGCTCAACAAAAATGTAAATAAAGATCTAAATGAAAAGCAAGATTTTATAGAAAATGCCAAAAAATAAATAAAAATTCACGCCATGATGTAAAATACATAAGTGTCATAATCAACTCTCTCGAAACTGTAAATTAATGTAAGGAAGTAAAAGAAGAGGTAGACATTTTTTACCAGCGGAAGCGAAAAACTACTAAGTTAGGAATGGCGTGTGAAAAGAAGGAATGTACGTGAGCGAGAGTGAAGGAAAAAGAGAAATAAATCGTAATAAAAAGAAAAGTTTGTGTTCAGCAAGAAAAATGGACCGAAACAAAATGTTAAATGGCAAATTTAAAGTAGCTTTTGTTTATTTTTATAGAAAAGTTTGTAACATAAAGAGAGAGAGAGAGACCGTGTTGCGCGTCTCGGATTCGTAGTTCGTTAGCCGGAAATCGTAGTAATTTATTGCATTATTTATAATTTATCTTAAATTTTAAACTACATTGTAATTCTCTCAGCATTAATTGGCCCTGCAAAAAGCTCTTTTTGGAAGAGTCTAGTGTTGATCCTATTAAATTTTAACAAATTTTTTAAAGCCGTTCATTAAATTTGCTATATTTTTATTGGATGTGTAAAAATAAAAATAAAATGTGAACTATGCATGTCCTCTTTTGAGTTGATGTTTAAATTTTGGGGGAATCTGTATAGATACGAAAGTGGAGGGTTTAAAAACTTGTTATAATTAACATTTGCATTTTCTGTCCCCCGAAAAAACAATCAGCATTTGTCAAGAAAAATGTTCCCAAACCCCCATTTACGATGACTAAATAAATTCAACGCCTACAAAAAAAAGACCCCCCAAGAGCAAACTACTTATTCTCTTTCTGAACATAAATCATGTAGATAAAACGCGGACAAAAGTTTTATTGTTTAGATCCTAGTTGCAGAGAGAGAGAGAAAGAGAAAGAGCGCTCGCGCGCACAAGAAAGCAAACAAACCTTCCATAAAAATATGTAAATGGTTGATATTCCAAACAGAGTCATATAATAAAAAAAGAAATATTCAAATGACCTGGACTAAACTGTGATGTGGATTTATTTATCCTCTCAAACACAACAAAACATTTTACCTTTCCAGCCACCATAAATTTCAAAGCATTTATTGCTGATATAAATCACGAACTGAACAATCGATGTGTGTCACCTCTGGTTATAAGTTGCAACAATAAAGGTTTGAAAGATTAATCTGCAAATAAATAATGTTGAGCTGCTTTCTGAGCCATTTTTCAACGTTTATCACTAGTTGCTCAAAATTAAAATCGAAAATCTGAGCAAAAATGGATGTTTTCCATTTTATTTAGCAATAAGTTAAAAAAGGGATCATATAAAATGATGGTAATTTAATTCAATTCATTATTAAAAGAAAAAAATCTTTGTTTTAGTAAATTGACACTTGAGGAGATGATCATGGAAATGAAGCGATCAGGCTTTTCCTCGTTGAAAAAATTGTTTTTATTCACAAACAAAACGGCTCTTTTTGATTTTTTAAGAGGTTTTTCCGTGGATTTACTGAAACTGTGCGAGAAACACTTGGCTTTAAAGAATGGAATATACAAACCAAAATTCTGAGAAATTAATTTTTAAAAAATTTCTTAAAATGTAATATTTATGAGTCACAAAAAATCAAAATTTCAATTTAAACTCGGAAAATTAGGGTAAACAAAGCAAATTCCATTTTTTAAAGCCAAGTGTTTCTCGCACATTTTCAGTAAATCCACGGAAAAACCAGCTCTTAAAAAATTAACCCCTGAAACTGCTTTACACTTTACAACACAAACAAAACACTACTCTACACTAATTTGAAAAAAAAAAAACGCACACTAACAATTATCTGAGAATGAAAATCTTTCTGATTTGCTTGTAAAAAAAGCTATTTTTGCAACGAGAAACAGCCCGGATCTCTTCACTTCCATAAAATATTTTTGCTAATGATTTGATTTATACAGTTATATATTAAAAGTTGCTGATATTTTGTAAAATGAGCGATAATATGGTATTTATGGAATGTACTGGTAAATATATAGTTAAATTAATAATTTTAGTTCAAGGAAATTAATTCAGACTTCTTTAATTTAATGCTAATAATTAAATGACTTAAAATTAAACAAAATGCATTGTTTTCTAGATTTCCTTTATTATGATAGTATTTAAATTAAATAAAAACAATAGCTATCGTCAATCATAATATTATAATCAAAATAAAATAAATTTTGAATATTTCATTATATGGGCGGTGGCTATAAAAATAATATAATTTAGTGCCACGATCGATCATATTTAAAACGAACGGTCATTGAGGCACAAACTCATTTCCGAATGTGCGAATAAAAGTGCTCAGTGAAATATTCGTGCCCACACGTCCGTTGTTGGTTGAATTTTTTTGAATTAAAAAAAAAAGTAAAAAATCTGTCTCGCACACTGCGGCATTTTTCAAGTGCTTTGGCGCCACTCGACGCGTCATCTATGAGCGGTTTTGGCAACCAACTCGGACAAAGTGGCGACGGGGCAGAAAATCGCAGAGGCGCGAAATTCAAATAATTGCATATGGCAACTCGTTTTGTTTTGATTGAAGCTCGATAGCCACTTTCGACCCCGATTCGCACTCGCACCCCGCAAAATGCCGCGAGGAAAGTACGTCAACCACAAGGGCAAGAACCGGAGGTTCAACAACCCCGAGGAAATCAACGAGCAGATGGAGAAGGAGAAGCAGAAGCGCGAGTGGAGAGAAAAGCATGGCGAAGACCCTGAGGAGGAGTCTGGCGAGGAAAAGGGTTCCGACGCAGGCTCCGACGAGGAAAGCTCGTCCTCGGACGAAGAGGAAAAGGCTAAGGGCGTGCAACACTTAATTCAGGTCGATTAATTTGAATTTCGCCAAAATCAGCGCGAAAATCCGCGCCCGAAATTCAACCTTGAACAGACGAGCTGTCATTTTGAACAGATTTCGGCAATTTTCCGGTTTAAAATCCAACCTCGGTGCCATTCAGTCCAATTTTCCCTTAATCTAAAGCCTTGACTTCTCAGTCAGCATCATTAATTTTGATTTTGTCCCTGAATTTGGCGAGATTCGCCTAATGTTTGAATGACGCAACCCGCATTAGCATAACAACGATTATTATTAAAATTTGTTGACGTTTTCCGTGCACTGACTGACGTGTTGCTTGAATTTTCAGATCGAGAACCCAAACCGAGTGCAGAAAAAGGTGAAAAAGGTGACCGAGCTGAATGCGGAAGCGACTTCGTCGTCGTCGTCGGCGGCGCCGCAGTTGTCCAGGAGGGAACGCGAGGAAATTGAAAAGGAAAAAGCCAGGGCAAATTACCAAAGGCTACACGCGCAGGGCAAAACCGACGAGGCCAGGGCCGATCTTGCCAGACTAGCAATCATCAGGTACTAAATAATTAAATATTACGAAAAAATTTAGTTTTTTTTAATTGTCTCTTATAATTTCCACTTGACAAAGAAAGACAAAACATTACTTGAGGCTTTTTTTTAATAATACCAAGAATTCCATTTTTCTGTTTTATTAAATGTAAAACAAACTTGTCTTTTAATATATAAATTATAGAGGTTCATACTTTTTTTGCTGTTTTAAATTTAATGATAAAATCCCAATAATATGAAATTATTTTATACAGAGTTTGAAGTTTAAAGAGAGAAAAGCAATATGAAAAACAAAACAATTTTTCGCAATTGTTAACACAAAAATTTGACAGTTGAATTCTACATTCTATTATTATTTATTCTTCTCGGTCAATACAAAATTTTTTAAATTGGAAAAAAGAGAAGAAATTAATAAAAAAAAGTTTTTTTTCTTTTGTGAATTTAATAATATCCGTTTGGGATTAAGTTCAAATCACTATGAATTATTATTTTACAAAATTCATTATTTCATTTTGTCGCAAAAAGTCATAAAAGAAATTGATTGATTTATTCCATTTTTCATTTTTGTTTTGTTTTTTCGTGTTTTTGCTATGGTAAGACTGGACTAAATGGCTGTTTTGGCTTTTTTCTAAATCAAATTTATTCTTGAAATTTATTCATCAATTGACCCTGTGAGGTTTGTGGCTTAATTTTGTAACCTGGAAAAAATAATCTAAATGAATGCAATCCTGAAACTTATTTGAATTATTTCTTTTATAATCTTCATGTAATTTAGCCACATTTTGGGAAAGGATTTTTAATATCTTTCCTTCGATCAAAAATAAAATTCCTGTCAAGTTTTATTTTGGATTTTATTTATTCAGCAATATTGATATTTTCATTAAAATTGCACGGCAACAAATAAATTGATCTCGTTTTGATTGTTCGCCCTCAGGCAACAGAGAGAAGATGCAGCAAGGCGGCGAGAAATGGAGGTGAAGGAAAAGGAAGCGGCCGCCAAGGCCAAGACAGACCAGACTCAGAAGGCAATGGGCAAGAAGAAGTGATCCCACCGCAGTGATTGATCAAACAACTCGATATGCAATTCATGTATGATTTTCCACGATTTTTGTATAACTGAAACTGGTTATGGTAATGAGATATGAGAAAGAAAGAAAATTAATAAATTAATATTAAAGAAAAGCATCGATCGGGTTTCAATTGCGCAGAAAAGCGAATTTTGGTTTGTGTAAAAGTTTTTATTATGGTTTGTTAAATAGCGATTACATCAACGTATATAAATATTCGAATTAACGAAGTTCCACTACTTTGATGTTAGAACAAATTTACTTGGTCTCTTCTGAAGCTACCAATAGACGAAAATCGAGACTATTTTTGCGTTTTTAAGTACTTTTGTTACATCTTAAAATAAATTATAGTACAATTTGCCTCTGATGAGGTAAAACTTAATTGTTAACAATTGAATTAAAATTCTTTCAGTGAGTCGTTCCTTATCAGAATACCGTATTATCACAAATTCAAAGGCCTGCCATTGTAATACTAAAATTCATGACTCTCACTTGAAACACCGGCCTCGGCAGCAAGTTTTACTCAATTAATTTCACGGGGTTTTTGACTTTCATAAGCATTTTGATTTTGAAACACGAAATTTCAGACACGAACAAACGAAAACTTGCTCCGCACAGCTCAAGCCAATCGTGGATTTCAATGTTACAAAGCACGAGGTTACTCTTACTTTGATGGTGTACAATTAATAGACTTTTGGTACCCTGCCTAGACACCACGAAAATATCCTTTCAACTTCTCTACCGCGAGAAGAGAGACAAAAGACGCGAAGTTGATTTTCTAGGCGGTCGCTCCGGGGTCATGTCACCGTCGCCATTCTCGTTACCACTCCTTCGCAGCTTCTCCTGCTCAGTTAGTTTCTGCCTCATCTGGTCGTCCAGTAAGAGTTGCATATCCATCTGGAATTGAAATTTTTTTTATCAATCAATGATGAAATTTCAAATTTACATAGAGCAGTCTACGAATAAAACGGCCAATTTGATTAATCCAAAAACCTGATTTTTTTTCAGTTGATGACTCAAAATGATTTTAATTAATTTTTCTAATCACCTGCCACTGTTCGAGTTGCTGTGACAACTCGATTTTTTGCTGCACGGCCTCCATCAACTGGCTGTTGACCTGAAGGACGTCGATTCTGGTACGAGCCAGCTCGACCTGGACTGAATTTCTCGCTGCCAGGGCCGTGTCCCTCAAAGCTCTTGCTTGATTCAGCGCCTCTTCACCTGACGAATTCACATCAGACCTGGCCAGGTCGCGCTCCTCAATCGTAGCCGACAGTTGGGCCTCACAAACTCCTGAAAATTTGACGGTTTAAAATTGGATTCAAAAATTAGGAGGATTTAAATTATTATACCTAATTTGCTCTGGAGCTGCATCGTTTCCTGCGTGTTTCTCCTCAACTGCGCGGCCCTTTCTTCAAGCATTCTACCCGCCTCGGCCAACGACTCCTTGGCTCGGTGAAGCTCGGCTTGCAGACTCAAAAGCTCAGGACCAGAAACCACTCCTCCCTCGCGCACCAGGCGGCACAATTTTGACACCACACGAGACAATCTTCCAGCCTGAATAAAAAAATTAAAATTGTTTATGCTTTAGTATTGCGGAAATTTCATTTTTATTGTTTGAATATTTTGCGTTCAATCGTCAGCAATTTTTGAAATTTTTCATCTTTTTTTATAATTAATTGTTTATTTAACAATTTTATACTGGACTAAAGATTTATTTCACTTTTGACTTTTCATTTGGAATTTTAATTTGTTTTTCTAACCTTGAGGGAACCAAGACCCTCGTCCTCTATCATATCACAGTCCTCCTCGCCTTCGGAGGAGGAACTGCAGCCAGAGCTGCTGGTGCTCAAGTGCTCTATGCTGCTCTGTGCGCCGCTGCTCGGTTCTTTTTCTCCTTTTCTCAACTCCCTGCACAGTCCACGAAGGGCTCGCCAGGCAGAGAGGGCCTCTCTTTGGAGCTGTAAAAGTAAAGGAATTGGAAATTTGTAGAATTTAAATCTTTTTAAGTATTCAATTAAACATCATCCATGTTTAAAAAAATGTTATTAATCCAAAAGCAATTGCAAAGGTAACAAAAGTGCATTATTTTATCTTTTTTGGGCCCTGATCAGTGATCATTATTAAGTAAGTAAAAATAAAAAAATATAAAAAAAAACGTTGAAAAGTAAATTAATACTTACTTTTTAAAATTAAAAATTTATTTACATTAAAATAATAAAATATAATTACTCAACGCGTGTCATGGCATTCAATTTTAATTATATATTTGTTCAATCAAACACAAATAAATTTTAAATTCTATCTTTTATTTCTTTTTAATTTGTGGAAAATTAAAAAAAAACTAGTCTTCATTTAAAAAAAAAAAATATAAAAATTAAAATTGTAAATAAAAAAATGCAATTTTATGTTTATATCACTTTTTAAAAATAAAAAAAATGAAAAAAAAATTGAATTTAAGGTAAAGTTACTATTAAATTTTATCATTATATAATTATTTTGACCTTTTCTATTTTTTTCAAAATTTACAAACCTCGAGAACGGTCAAAGGAGGAGAGAGATTGGGTGGCAAGTCATCGTCGCTGGAGGTCTCCATCTCGCTGAGCAGCGACCTCTGACCTGCCGACGCGGGTGACAGCGAGCCTCGGATGCGCGGCGTGCTGCGAAGGTCCGAGCTGTCCCTCTGAGCGTGACGGAGCTGCACAAGTTTCACATTTTGGTTGATTCAAAAATGAGATAGATTTCGATCTGACCTGGTGCTCGTGGTCTCGAAAGCGTTTCTGCAGCAAGTGCGCTCGCTCGTTGGCTTCGTCCAGCGACGACTGCAGGGAGACGCGCTCCTCCTGCAGGTCGGCAACCTGGCGTTCCAGCTCGTCGCACTTTTCACTCATTAGGTCAAGCTGGCAAAAAGTAAAACAGAGGAGGTGAGCGTGGAAATTTCATTGTTTGCAGTAATGTTAAGTAGGTTACGGAAGTCGACTTTTACTTTTTGCTTAAAAGTGGATTTTTTTTATAAATTTTACTAAACACATTTTAACTGTGTGCAATAAAGATTATAAAGTAAAAATCGTAAAAATTAACAAAAATTTAAACGCATTCAGATATTAAATATATTATATTTTCCAATGAAATACTTTGGATTGTGCCGTGTAAATAACATATTCACCTAATGTCCAGTCACAGTACTAATTTAATTATCTTTTTATTGTTTTATTTGCATAATTCATAACTTTTTTATATTTATTTTTGATATTTCCCACGAAAATTGAGAAATAAATAATAAAATTATTGTTCATATAACAACCATTGATGAAAATGAAAATGAAAATTTTCTTCGAATGAAATAAAAAATAAAAATATGCCGCAAAAAGATGTCAGTTTAAAATTTAAAACCTTAATCTAGCGGTGCAGAGAAAAATAATTTATCCAAAGTTTTAAGTTTAAAGCTCACACAAAAGCCTAAACAGGTCTGGGTATTATATCATGAGATATATTTATATTTTATAATTGATATGCTCCGGTTTGCTCGTTATTTCACCGGAGTAATTATCCATCATTAATTACAATTATACAGGAGCGCAATGAGCATCCGTTCCTCAGAATGCTTTTGTCTGCGCGACCCGCCTCGAGCAATTTCTTTTGATACAAAAAATCTCCGTAGATATCTAATTACCACACGCGCTTGTTCTCTCGTAGGTACAAACTAACAAAGCAAACGAATCGTCTTTCTGAGAAGGTGCACTCAACTCTGGCGACGCACGGAAAATCCAGTTACGTCTCTCATCTTCCTACTTTATTTTGAAAAGGCACGATATAAATTAATGGTCTCCACTTTTTAATTTTAAGATTACTTTCCAGATGTGGGAGTTACTAACTGTATTTTTATTTGAAATAAAAAAATGCTTCGAATGAAGCTCGAATTTTTATGCAGGACCGTTCGCTTGAATAAACAAAGCGGTATTATGGATATTATTTGCTCAGTAATTTGACACCGAAAGAGATTTCGCGTCACGAGAGCGATGTGCTCCAGAAAGATAACAAATTATACCAACCTCCTCCCGCAGAATCTCGGCGTGACTCTCGTGATCCTGCAGGCTGGTTTTGCGCAAAGAAAACTGCTCACGAGCCGCCGTAAGCTGAGACGACAATCGCTCTTCCCGTTTCCGAGACTGAAAGTATAAACATAATTTTTTTAAACTCATAAATAAAAATAAAATTAGGATCCCCGTTATTTGTCAGAAAACAGTCTTCGGCATTGATCAGAATTTTTTCATTGCCCAGGAATATTCGTGGTTTTCATTTGTCAGAATTTCAATACAATAGCAATAAAATCAAAGATCAGAATTTTTTTATTCAATATCATTGTATTGTAAAGGCCGAAAATACGTAAAATTTTTAAGTTATACAAGTAAATTTTAATAATTTTACCTTTTAATAATTTAAAACAATGGCTGGTCATTTTTTAGGCTTTTTCAGGCTTTTAGGTATAATCAGCAGCGTTTCATATGTGGAATTTATGATTTTTCTCCTTGAGAATTCCACTCTCGACTGAGATTTAATGATTCAACAATTGTTCATAACTTGGCAATTAAAACATTTAAATAAAGTTATGGATTGTCAACGTTTACTTTGTAGTTTTCAAGTAACAAAAGGAGCAAAAAAATTATATTATCTTATACAAGAAAAATGTGACGGCTACATGCAAATTTTCAAATTTTACTAGCATTGCTTTTTAAAAACTAGTAGTAATTAGAAATATTGATTGATCGTTATGATTTCAACTATAAATTTGTAAGAACAAATTAAAAATTTTGGTTTTCAAATTGTTTCACTTTTCATTAAAATTTACTTGCTGTGTTTTCTGATAAATTAATTTCTGATGAAAAAATTTCGTATAAATATAAAAAATACATAATTATGGTTGATGTCTTATTTTGTTCCCACAAAATTCAGCAAGGTAAAAAATACCTCTTTCAGTTGAGCGGTGAGTCTCTGGTTTTGTTCAGTCAGTTCGGTGATGAGTTTGGTTTTGGCAGACTCGGCCTGTTTGAGGGCCTCTTCCCTCCTCGCCACTTGGCCCTTCAGGTCTTTGACGTCGGCCGAGAGTTCCATGATCTTGGTTTCGCTCTCCGACTCCAAATTGGTCAACTGCCGCCGAAGAGAGTGTTTTTCCTGCTCCAAAGCCTGCAACGCAAAGAACAAAATAATGTAATCAAAATTTTAAAATTATTCATTTATAAATATTATATTTTTGTGGTCAATTTTGCAATCCTAAATAATGATCTTTGGTTTTATTTCCACGCAAACCACATCATTAAATTTGGTGCTCCAGTTTAGAAAAATTTATAATATTTCTAGTAATTGGAAATTTTATCGTTTTACTATTATCAGTCTCAAGAGTAAAAGTTTTGCGGCCTGATTAATCGACTTAATGATTTTCAAACGTCTCAAATTCCTCCTTCGCTCTCTACACGCAGTCTGCACGCTTTGATTCACAGGAAATTGTATGATCAAATTAATTTGGCAACATTTTTTCTGCTCTCTTGAGCCGCCAGCTTTTTCACAACACTCGTCTTCCTCTCCTAAAAATTATTGCAGGCCTCGTTGGCGCCGGGGAAATTATTGGCGTGAAACGTCAGAAGTGCTTTGCAACAAGACAGGGCCATAAATCGTCGATAATTAGATTTGGCAACATGCAAATTTTCGTATTATTATTATCAAAACACTTTGGCCAAACAATAAAAAAAGCTTTTGTTTACACGCTTTTGTAAACATTAGCCAACCTGTACTTGTTTTTACGGATCGATTCGGATCGATCAGCCTTGGAGGAAATTCGCGATTAATCCGCGAAAACGCGGCCGTGTCTTAATTGCGAATGCACGCTTTTTTGATTATGCAATATTTTCATCAATTAACGAAAGCGACATCGTTGTCGTTTCGCAGCCTTGTTTTTACCTGGCGGTAAAATTATTATAGAAATTTCTCACAGCGACGACGACGCGCCGGTGTGCGAACACTTTAAAAATAGGAGCTCGTCTGGTTTGAGTGTCGAACAATGAGTGAAAGTAAATCGGATTATTATGAGATGTGTGCGGTCTCATTAAATATGAGCGTGCGGTTTTTGATTAATTTCTCTCACGGGAGGCAAGTCTATGTAGAAAAACGAGGCGACATTGAGTTATTTTGTTTTGATGATCTCACGCCTGTTGCCGGCCGATTGCAGGATATTCCTGCCAGGCACTAATTGGTATTGATGCCTGAGAGGTCAAAGATTACGCCATTGACACCGTGACTTGTCTGAAAATTTTATCGATGAATGATTTCCTCTTAGAAGATTTGGGAATTTTTTTGAAAAAAAAAATGATAATAAATTATAATTCAAAATTAAACAAAACGATAAATTCTAGAAAAAATTGCGCATTTGACAATTCGTCTCTTAATAAGAAGTCTAAATTTTCTTGTTAATAAATAAAAATATTAAAAAGTAGGTTTTCACATAACCACTTTTTGAATAACCAGCTTTATTATTTCGAAAATTAATATTTAAAAATATGAATTAATAAATAAAAATTTCAAAAGAAATATCTTAATTTAGAAAATTCTAATTTTTGTAATTTTTACCTCTCTATTTTCATAAATGCATTAAAATATTTACACTCTTCTTGTTCTGTAAACAAAAGGTGAATTAAAAACAAAAAGAGTAATTTTGTGAATTTCTTTCTTTCTAATTTGAATTTAATTATATTAAGTCTGCAATTTAGACATTAGTTTAAAAGGGTGAAAGCAGCATAGTTTTAGGAGAAGACGTTGTATATAAATTGCTAGCAATTTAAAACGAGCTCACTCAGAGTGCATCAATCTCTTGTTCGAATTTCTGACGCCCATTCTAGGCGAGTGCACTGCCTTGCCTGACCAAAATGCATTATAATCATTTCCTCTCGGCGCATTAAAACGCACGCCTCTGTGTCGAAAGAGTGCATCTCGCAAGTAAAAATAAACCAGAGACGGAAATGGATTGCTCTCGGCCACCTTATGCATATTAAATTTGGCAGTAAATCGAATGTACGCAGGCAGGGAAAGTGTTGAAGAGTCACGCACCAGATGATACAAATGTGACATCACGAGAGAGCATCGCTCTTCGATAAGAGCAGCTGATAAGACACACGCGCGCAGATTGTGTTTTGATAGCCAGTCAGAGCGAGTAAAAAGAATCAACTCTTTATTTTCTCCAGGCGCGTAACTGTAAAAAAGCCTAGAGAAGTGTCAGTCTGACGCGGTGCGCGGCTTCGGAATTAAAAACTCGTGCGTTACCATTTGACAATCATCAAACGCCAGACCCAAAAGTCGTTTGTTTTATCACGTCGCGTGTGTTGTTTGTTTTCATTCATGTGGAATTCCCATTATTCATTTTTAATTCTAGGATTCTAGTTCATAGAGTGACAATTTAATGATTTATAAGAATTTTAAAATGTTTAAAATTTTTCAAAACAATAATTTATATGAAAATTTTACTGAATTAATTTCTTAAATTTAAAATAAATATTTCTTACTATTATTTTTATTATTTCATATAATTATTTTTTTCTATTTTACCGATTGTTAAATTAATTAATACAAAATTATTGTTAATATTATTTTTTTTGTATGTGTTGATTTTTTAAATTTATACAATAACCGCGATTAACAACTTATATTATGTATTTTCCTATACAAAAAATTTTCTATTGAAATCTCAGTTTCCATACTGCTTTTGCTAAGGGTAGCAATAAAGAGATATTGATTTGGTAATTATTGGAAACAGAATCCAAAATTAAATAGGTGCTGATTTTTAATCAATTTACTTAAATTTCGTTCAATGGTGCAGTCAAGGAGAAGAGAAATTTATTAAATCTCTCCACAACAGACAGCACTTCTCTCGACAAATTGATTATCAGCTTTTTACAAAAGGCCTTCGCAATGAAAGTTGAGATTATAAACGCAGCATCATTGAGTGCTGCCTGTCAAAACGATTTTATATACTTCCTCGAATTAATAAATAATAACACTCGTTCGCTCTCAAGGAAGCTGCTGAAAAAAATCCATTCACCTGCTGCTGCGCTTCGACACGATTATCTCACTCGATTCAACAAACAATGAGCAATAATTTGATACGTTTCGAAAATAACGCATTTTCAGTTCCTGGAAGCAGCTCTTTTTTTTCTTCTGACATTAAATAATATCTCAATTTCTGCCCTCGGAAAGTTATATCAGCTTTCACACTTTTATAATAAAAAATAATTACTTCGCCTTTCTATGAAAATTGGTGCGATGGGAAAAATTGCATCAAAAACTTGTAATAATTGATACATAAATGTTAATCAAGACATACGAGTTGGTGATAATTTTTGCGTTGCCACCTTATTAGTCATGAGCCGTATCGGTGTGTTGACGATGTGAGAGAATCCGAGTCGCAGCTCCCGCGAGCAAAAATATAATAATTTTCTCAAAGTGCAGCCCGCAGCATAATGAGAATTGAAGTGTGCAATGTAAACTGACACCGAAATTATACAAGTTTTGTGCGTGTCTCTCTCGCTCGGTGCAGATACACTCTAGAAAAATAATAATTACAACACGTCGCAATCTCATTTCTGCTATTTAATGTGGGACGTGTCACTTTTCGCACTCGTTGCAAAAATCTCATTTCAAAACAATAAAAAAATTCTTTGAGATTTAAAATGTGGGCGTTAATTTTTAAACCATAATATAATTTTTTTTAAAACTGGTTGTTTTCCTTTCTTAATAGATTGCTAGAATATTAAAAAAATCCTTATATCATTATTAAAGTCACATTTTGTCCCTTAAAGATCTGGAAAATTCATAGACATGAATTTGAAAAGTACTGGTCGAAAATGAAAATTATTTCCCTGCTAATATGGAATAGAAAAGATATTCGATTGGTTCTTTATAACAAACTATAAAAATTTAATTAGCACGTCCTCTTAAAACTATGAGAACGAACATTCTATTGCAATATAAAATCCAATTTTAGTTCCATCAAGGACACATTCCGTGTCGAAATAATTTTATTATTGCAATGATATGAGAATCCATTATTGTTTTTTCTTCTTCTTAACTTTGGACTCTCTCCATTAGCAAGGATGTCAAACGTGGGCGCCTTGGCAGATCCTCTCTCATTTTATTTTCCTGCTGCGTACGAATATTTATATTTAATCGAGTTCCATATCTCTTAAGGAAACTCGTTTTGCACAACTCGAGTCTGCATGGGCGTCTCGTGCACCTCAAAATGGTCACATCGCCAGAGAGATGAATTGGCCTCTTCAAAACGAATAAAGTCGTTCTAATGATCGTGGGAGAAACGCGATGGCATTGATCGAACAAAATTGAATAAAGTTGTGAGCAGAGAGTTTTCACACTTTCGACAGAAAATGATTGTTGCTGCCGTGGCATTGTGTTCATGGTAATCGAGAAATCATCAATTTGGTTTTGAATCAGGAAGCAAAATCACTTTGTCCTCGAAAACTTTTGCTTTCGGGCGTGCAATCGTGCGTAGGAGATTGATAATTTCCACTTAAAAAAAATGAATTTTATGAGTATTTTTCTCTCTCGTTTCCCAATGTTTTGTTCAAAAGATCCTTGGGTAATTTTTTTTTAGTGTTGAAAAAATTATAAAATATTAAAAACGTTTAAATGAATTAATTAAGAGTTAAGAAAACCGTTTTCGGGCAGAAATATTGATGGAGGTCCCAGCGCAACAATTTTATCAGAGGTTTCCAATATGTAAAATCAATTTCATTGTTGAATATGAATTCAATTTCAAATTTCAATATTTCTGCATTGGTCTTATTTGCTACTTAAAAAAATATTGCAAGATTTTCTCTTGATTTATATAATTTTCTTACTGTAGAAGTTTGGTTATCTGAGAGAAGTTGTCAGAAACTTTAAATTTCTTAAGATTTTGTGTAAAAAAAAATATTGACACAAATTTTCAACAGGAAAAGAGAGAAACTCTTGTTAGTTGTTAATTGACTTGTGTTGTCAAGAAATAGACGCGTAAAAATTAAAGAGACAATCATTACAAAGCAGCCTTCCATGTTGTCAATTAACGCACATGACAAAAAAAAAGTGGTAAGACAAATGGGCAATTACGAGAGCAACTTCAAAACGCCCATGCTTTTCCTTTCTCG